TGTGGACGAGAAGCAGTGCTACTGTGGATATTGCAAGTTAGCCCCAGTCGCGAGGAATTTGTAGGGTCCTAGCACTTGCTGAAGCCGTGATACAGTTGATTCTTGCCCACTGCCACGGTAACTGGCAGAACACAGCAAGTGACACAAGCCAGACGGAGTTCTTCGCCAAGACGTGGTGCGGGTATTCTCAGGTGGCCTCCAGCCTCCAGACACCAAGGCTCAAGGAGGTCCGGCCATGGTGGTCTATGCCGAAAACAGAGACCTTTCTAGGCTGCGGCTGTGCCAAGTGTGTCTGTGGCCTTATGAGAGCACGGAGACTCGATTTAGACATCCGATGTATCTGTTGCTAAACACACTCTGCAGTGGTGCAGCCACCTGAAGCCATCTCTGTCAGTGGTTCTGATTCCGCGACAAGCTCGTCGACAGCAGGGCTAGCGCGGCACTTCTAGCTCGAAGCTATCATTAAGGTGTGCTTCATAAACATGCCGCTCACATGCACAGGCTCACTCTTGCACTTTGCTCCGCACCATCCCGGCAATTTTACCTATTGCCGGCGTTACGGCATGTAAATGAAACGAGACGCCTCAATCATCGATGGCTTGCTTGATATCTTTTGGAAGAACAGTGCTCGTATGCCGGATCAGGAAAAGCCAACCCTACTGTGTGCTGACGGTCAGAGGCCTTGCGCGAAGCCAAGAGTGTTGGCACCACGACATGGGTGAAACACCAGGGCGCTCAGGAAGAGAAGGCTCCCGCAGCAGCTTACCGTGCTAGCTGTGAAGAAAGTAATCAGATACATCTTCATGAGTTGTTTCGATGCCAATCTGAAAAGGTTGCACATGGGTTGCGCAAGAATCCTTCCGTCCTATAGCTCATAACGATCTCGCTTGCAGCTACTGGTGCCATATAGGGATCTTTCATAATTAGAATAAGGGTTCGGGGTATACTATAGCAGAAGTATATAGAGCTACAGGATATCATTATTAATAATATACAAGAAACTCAACCCATGAGTATAAAAAGACTGCAAGTTATTACAATTCGCTGGAGCACTCGAGGACTCGAAGAAGCTGCGAACTTCAGGCCCCTTCCTATCTTGTGTTGGTGAAGTCTCTACAAAATTTATGGCTTTTGATAAAGATTCTCAGGGGCTGAGTACCCTAGCCCCAAAAAGGTTAACCTTTGGAACTATAGTAGGGTTATGAGAGCCTCAAAAGGTTAAAGGTTACCCACTCAGCCACTAAGTAAAGATTTGTTCTTCCCTATTGGTAGCCTCGCGTACCTTTCTTCACCGACATGCAAACCCGGCGAGTGAGATCCTGTCACACCCCAGTACTTGGAGGATCATGGGACTTAGTGAGTCAGGTTATAAGTCCCCTAATTGGGGTTATAAGTATAGGTACCTTAGTTATAACCATACTTACTAAGTCTCATGATCTTTTAAGTACACACTATCATACGCCCAGAGTGGCCAAGGGCCATCGAGACCTAAACGAGGAGCTTCTACGCAGGCTTCCATGCTACCTGCATACGGGTCTTCCCTGCCGGGCGCGTCCTAGACGTGCTCTGGTCTTTTATTTTTCTCCAAATTCACGCAAAACTCGACAGGATCTGCGGATTTGTGTTAACTGCCGCGAGAAAGGATGATTGATGCCTTTTGCTGCACGTCGGCAGCAGACTCTAAGAAGCCCTCATACGAAGCTTTTAAAAATACTGTGATATACGATCATTTACTTTAATATGCTAAGCAGTTTCACCTCTCCCCCTCATCAGTTTCGGTGCAAGTGTTAAGGCTTTTGTTGCACGCTGCAAGTCTCCAGTCTCCGAAGCTCCTGCCGACACCTTCCTACACGTGGCAGCACTTGGCCACGCTCTCTGCAAAAAAGTCACGGATAACTAAAAGCAGATCCTACTTGTTTACACACAAAGGGTCCAAGTGTGGCAAGGCCAACTCTTGATTTTCGGGCCATGCAACTTGAAACCTCAGTGACGACCGGGAATACACAGCTTCAGGAAACCTGTGCCCAACCGGCTGTAAAGCATCTGGAGTTTCCAAGTGATCCTAAAGCTGAGCTTGTTGGGTCCAGGCTTCTCTGTTGTCGGAACTCCCCTGCACAAGCACACGGCGCACCCCGGGTGCGTCTGCAAAACGATCGCACGGTTGTGTCAGTTTTCGTACTTCTTGGATGCTGGGTAACATCAGTACCCGTCTGGGGGATTCTGCTAGCTTGGGCTGTACTTGGTAGGGCTCAGGAAGTTTGAAGAGAGTCCACCAGTAAGTCCTGCAACGCTGCAGTTCATTTCAGATCCGCGTCGCACTGCTCCGGACATTGTAATAGCAGTGCAGTCGCTGTGGCAGGTACTTCTAATGGCAGACAATCTTGGGGGGCCCGATGCCTGTCACTGCCATGCGACCATACCAAGCGGAGGGCGAACATTGCGGTAGAAACTTTCCTTGCTCGGCATGCAAACAGCCAGGACACAAAACATGAACGAGTGTGGTCTTACTAAAGCAGTCATACAAGTTAGGATGGTGCAGCTGCCAATACAAGCTGAAAGAGATACCGACAGTATCATAAGTATGGAAGTTAGCCTGACGGACTGATGCTCCCAAAAGCTGCACTCTCACTCCGTCTCTATCCCTTCGTCTCTCTCTCTCTCTTTTTCTCTCGTCCACTACTACTATTACCACTACTACACTACTACCATACTACCGTTAATACCACTACCACTACCACTACCACTACCACTACTACTACTACTACTACCACCACCACGACTACTACTACTACCACTACTACTACTACTACTACTACTACGACTACGACTACGACTACTACTACTACT